AAGCAGTTGCTTTAGCTTTTCACCGGTCAGAAAAGCACACACACACTTTTTTTTACATTGGAACTAATTAAAATTAGAACAAATTTAACTGTTAATTCAAGTATTAGAACAACGAACTACAGGTTAACAGAAAAAGGTTTTTATTTTTATTTTTCTATTTTTTTGTTCTTTATTAAGTGTATTTCTATGGAGAGCTCTCTCCATTACTTTTTCTCTCTAATTCAATAATAATTTAATAACTTTTTATGGATAGTGATTTGGTTCAAAAAGCTTGTGCGCATTGGTTAGATTTGGCATATGCAAAGATTAAGAGAGATAAGATATATCTACACCAAAACTGGGGGAGTTTTTACACGATCTACTACTAATTGATATGCTTCACGTACAATTTCGGATGAGCTATTTAGAATTTTGGACCATGTATTTAAGATCGGACATATTAACTTAAGTGAGCATTAGCTTAACTTATTGGAATGTGATCTAAAGTAGACTTCAGCTTGCCTGCTTTTCTAACATTTGTGAATTTCTGAATTCCTGCTCTTCTAACAGTTGTGAATTCCTGAGTTCGTGCTTTCGTTAAATTTGTGAATTTGTAAATTCCTAAATTTCTACTGTTCTTCTGTTAGCAATCTTCCACTTTGTAGCAAATTTTATAGGTTTTATTTTAGATGACTTTGCAGGAAAGGGAAAGTTTGCATACTGTGTCACCTTCATGGTTAAAATATCATTTGGTCGTGCATTTTGTAGAGAAATGTTTGCTGTTTCAGCTTATATATCCTAAAATATACCACAGACCTTCGTTACGAATTAATTTGACAAATACAATGGTCGGTCCCGGTCATTTATTTGCTAAATTGATTGATAAAAGAGACTGGCGAAATATTTTAGAATATATAATCTGAAAGAGCAAACATTTCTCTACAAAATGCAGGGCGAAATGATATTTTAACCGTGAAGGTGATGGAACGGCAATCAAATCTTTTACCGGGGCCAGAAAATTTTTTTGGTCTCGGTGCCCATCTCTATGTATAGTGCATGTTAATAGTATTAGATATATATACGTATGAAAGAAAAGGTGGTTGTTAGTTGTTAGTTGTAATTTAAATTTTGTATTATTCCGAGAAATGGGTGCAGCTCCTCCAGCGCACTACTACGATATTCTAGTCACACGTAAATGTGAAATTCGTGATCAGCGTAGGAAACGCTATCGATTGGTATAATTTTATCAGAATCGGCTCGGCGGAAGCGAAGATAGGAAAACCTCCGAATCTCACGGATAATACGGAAAAAAGAAGTGCGATTGTACTAGAAGACAGAACAGAGTATCTTTTCTTACTGCCTCTACCATTTGAACCAGAAAAGTATGATTAGCTGACTAAGAAATGCTCCTTTCTTGCTTATCCACACTATTTCCACTGGGTACATTTTGTTATTACATTTTGAAGGAGGTGGAAGAAGAAAGCATAATCAACTAGTAATACAGATTTTTTCGTTAAGTTGAATGATTTTTCTACATAGCTACAAGAGAAAAAACACAGCAGAGAGAGAGGGAATCACAAAAAATCATCAAAAGGGAGGTAATTATTAGATAGTACTAAAATTCCTTGATCGTTGAAATAGAGATAGACTTCTCTACTACACAAGTCGAGTATGAAATAACAAAAACGACATAACGGTGGAAAAACATAGTCCACACAGTGCACTTATCTATTTAATCCACAAGCGGAAAAATCAATAATCTATCAACGTAATCACATTATCTTCGCAGGGTCCTCTGATGCGAACTTAATTAAAGCACGTTTCGGATCGCTGGCGACCGCCCGAGTGGAACAGCGACTAGAGAAGATACTCGAGTATCGCGTTATTAAGACGAAACATCTAATTCCCCCGTATTCTTGGTAAAAGCAATGTTGGACTTATCTGCGCCAGCGGCCTTGGCAGCCCAGAGCAAGATTTGATGATGATATATACAGATATATATGTATGTTTTGTAGTATATGTAATAGTTCTGGTATCTGTGCAAGGCGTGTGTAATGTATAGTGCATAGTTCTGAAATCCTGAAATCTTCCTAGCATTAGATATATATATACACATATAGATATATATATGTATGCTTTGTAGTATACGTAATAGTTCTGATATCTGTGCAAGGCGTGCGTAACGTATAGTTCATAGTTCTGAAATCTTGAAATCCTAATAGCATTAGATATATATATATAGGTATATATGTGTATATCCTGGAATATGTATATATACATATATATTTATATGGATGTGTATATATATGTATATGTGTATATGTATATATATATATATACATATACGTGTGTATGTATATATATATGTATATACATGTATACATATACGTGTGTATGAGGGGTAGATGGGGACTTGTAGCATTTCTCGGATCTGAATATCATTCCCTACCTAGAGTAGACAACCCTCTTTTAATTTCAGTTTCTAGACCCTGGCCTTTCAGTCTAGGGCACAGCCATAGTGCGGACCTTGCTTTAGATCTGGATTAGCCTCATCGGCATTGGTTGAAAAGCCCAGCTTTATGTCCGACCCGTTTCCATTGGCTGTTACCACAAGCTTATATTCGATTTCAACGACTCCTTCCGGATTTTGCTCGTGAAACTTCGCCAAATATGTCTTGATAATGGATTTGATCCAATCCCTGACATAGACTGAAACCCCATCCAGCTTAGGACTATCCACGTAGTCTAACATGTCCTGTATCACTTTTGTATTGGCATCTTGTAAGTTGGTGGCAGCTTGATGACGCTTTTCATCTCAGTAAGTAAAAGGAGCTTTTTTGCACCACCTTCTTCCATCAATTCTTTCCAACAAAGCGGATTTCGCGTTTGATTGATGATGCTCAAAGCCGAATGAATTCCAGTGATGAAACCGGGATTGGTCAAAATGAATGCAGCGCATTGCGTTCGCATTTCATCGACCGATGGGAATTGACCTTGTGTTTTGCTTTAAATAGCCATGTACAAACAATCATTCGGGCCACCTTTGGCAGTCGTACCGCCTGCCAATTTCCCGTTGCTTTGTCAATCGTCGGTGGGGTGTGTGATGTACACTTAAAAGTGCAGATCTCCACTCCTTCACTGTGACAAGGAATGAAGTTTCAAACGTACTGAAAGAGCAGTTCAACCTACAATAGAAAACTCGGAAAATTTCTTTTTTTCCAAACAGTTATTGGCGCCGATCCAGGAAGATTTTTAAACATAACGATCCCATTAACGATGGGTTCGTCCTTCTTGTCAGCGCTTATATTTCTCAACCGCTCAAAAATCTACGAATTTTCATCATGATATCGATTAGTGCCGAATTGGCCACCCTAGTGAGCAAAACTAGTTTTGTATTCTTTGAAGGCAATAAGATAAAAAGAAACCAAAACAGAATACGCCTCCCAAATAGAGTCTAGTATCTGTAAAAAAAGTTTCAGCTCAATCGGACGTAGTAGGCCGGAGAAACGGGGGCAATAAGGAGGTGCTCTTAAGGCATTATATACACTACAGAAATATGGCTATTTCTCGTGATCCCAGTATAGAACGTATTTATATAAAGCGCATCAGTTACTGAAAAAGCTTAAAGCTAGTTTCTGAGAAAGTGACGCAGGCTCGGGCAGGTTGCTGTACTGACAGTAACCGATTTGGTTGAAAATTTCACCATTTTTAGCGGACATGAGGGTAGGTTATTGAAAAAATTGCAGGTCTCGAAACCTTTTCTTTCCGAAGTTATGAGTTTCGAAAAAAAGCTCGGTCGAGACCTAGAAAAGCTCAATGTTTTCAGAAAAAAATCGTTTTCCTCTTATAGAGCCAGTCCTAATGGGCCGTCCATACTTTCGGAGACTCTTCTTACCGCCAAGATATCTCGCCAAGAACCTTCTTTTGACAGATTTTGGTCTAAATCGATTTCTCACGAAAGATTCCTCGCTTTCGCTTTCCAACAACAATATAAGTCAATGGACTAGGTGGGTCTAGGCCAGTTTTCGATGCTAATCCCGAATCTGATTACAAAAGTTTTGACAGACAAGAAAGCTATCTCCAAAGAGTCTTCAGAAAAAAAGATCCTCTGAAGTCTTGACCAAACTAACAGTGCCATCGGGATTAGCGCACTTTGTTACCTACTTGGACAAGGCTTTAGAAAATACCGCAGGTCAAACCAGCCGAAGACAATTAATCGTACTTGACGTACACAACTAAGATCATAATCGTTAGATTTTTATCGATGTAAAAGAATCGAAAATGCTAAAGAACGATCGACTATGTATTTCACCTTCGTATTGGCTTCGTGATATTTTATTTGGAAATTGGAATCAAATCTACGACCGACAGTGAACAGAACGCGTCATTCTTCGATTTTTTATCGGATTTTTTCTGGATAAATAAAAGCAACTACCAGAGTTTACCTTGTGCAAACACAGAATCTTTTCTATGAAAAAGAATGAAGCAAAAGTGTACACAGCAAACAACTTCTATTTTCTCTCTGCGAAGAACATGCGTCTAAATTGCCAAAAGATCTTTTCGCAATTTACACGCATGTTCTTCGCAGAGAGAAAATAGAAGTTGTTTGCTGTGTACACTTTTGCTTCATTCTTTTTCATAGAAAAGATTCTGTGTTTGCACAAGGTAAACTCACGTAGTTGCTTTTATTTATCCAGCAAAAATCTGATAAAAAATCGAAGAAGAGATATTGTTATTGTGAAGTTTGTCTACTTTTCAAATTTTTCAATACGTTACTCTTTGGTGACTTATAGGCATTGTGCATTTGAAGAACGATTCTTTTGATTATCATTCAATTCGAATCATTTCTATATATTAATATGCCTTGGTGGATATTTTTGATGTTGTCTTATGTTCTCGCTGTGGCAATGTTTCATCTCTATGTACGATACATCTCTCCTCAACGGTACAATTTTAATCCGAAATATCCGTCGGTTGTAATCGAACCATGGTACTGTCCATTTCTGGGGCCTATACTTTCCATGTTAGACATTGAATCAGCAATCAACAAATGGCGTGCTAAGTATGGTGATCAATTTACTGTACGAATATTCGGTCGATATTTCACATTTGTCACAAAGCATTCTGATTTGAAGAAATACTACAATGCTAGCGAAGAAATGTTGAGTCTATCAAGAGCAGGGCAGTTTATCGTAGGTTCGGCATATCCTGAAAATCAGTACTTGACTGAATATGATACAATACCCTACATACAAAATATTCTGTCTTCGCATCGTTTGATTTATATGTCATCGAATATTCAAGCTATTGCACATGATTATTTTAATAAAAATAACGGCAAATTTTGGTTAGAAAACGGCGATGAAGCTGTAGTTGATTTATTTGACTTTTTTTATCGACTTATTTTGCGTACGAATTCGATGAATTTTATATCACGCCGCGTATATAAGGATCACGTTGAGGAACTTATTAAACTCTATATTATCTTAGATGTAGAAAAGAATGCCCTAAATCCAGTTGTGCACGGTCTCAAGCGGCGACTAGGACTCAAAAGTGACCGAGATGCTGCATGGGAACATTGGGTACGTATTATGATGCCAGACATCGAACAATGTTTGCAAATGATCGACGATCACATCGAACCAGCTAATTACGATACCGTATACGAAACAGTGAAGTACGCAAAAGAGGAACTGGAAAAACGTGGAAAACCATTTACACCTCGACTGGTTGCCTATTTTACGTTCACCACTTTTTTTCCGGCACAATTTAACACATATATAACTGCAGCATTTGTGATTATCGAATGGATTCGTCATGAACACGATGAAATCGGACGACGAATTCGAGAAGAAATTGATCGTGCACCACCAACAGGTGAATTTACCATTGAATATTTAAATTCAATGGAATTCGTTCAAGCATGTATTTATGAAGTGATCAGATTGGGTACTGATTCTCAATTGAGCTTGCGGCATGCTGGACAAGATGTTCTTCTATCAAATGATAAATATATCCCATCGGGTAATCTTGTTGCCATCCCTGTAACTCGTGCTCATGATTTGTATACGAATCCTGACAAGTTTGATCCCGAAAGACATTTGGCACCGAGACAAGAGAATAAGCGTGATCCGTATCGAGTGGCACCGTTTGGACGAGGTAAACATCCTTGCACTGGAGAACGATATGTCAAAATGCAAATCAAAGTGTTGCTCATTGCATTGTCGAAAATGTGCGAAATGAAAATCATGCCAGAATCAATCAATTTTGAAGCGACCATCAACAGAAAACAGTTGGTAGGATTAAGCCGTCCAACGAAACCCGTCTTCGTGAAAATATCTAAGCGAAAATAATGAATGCAGATGTTCGTATATCAATTAGTTTTATGAAGTTTGTTTGCTTATGTATTCAATAATTGCGAACAGAGAAGACTAACTTCCGATTTTTTGTCAGTTTGGACTTTCAAAATTTTGAATACATTTCCGAGTCGAATTCAGACCACTGAGCGCTACGATCGAATATGAGATGGGAATTTTTGACGGAGGATCGAGAACATAATCAAGATTACAGACTTTCAGTGGCCATATGTTGCTGACCGAGAGATGATTTCGAATGTTCGATCTGCGATGAACCATTTGAAAAGAGGACATGTACACCCTATGAGCACACATTCTGTCATAGTTGCAACCGGCCCGTTCGCGCCCGATCCGGTCCAGTAAAGGATTTTCTACCGGCCAGTAGAGAGAGGTTGGGCAGAACGGCACCGGTAGACGCCGGTAACCACTGGTAAGCTGTTTTGTTTGTTTTTCTGCACTGTCTTATTGTCTATGAGATAATCACGTAGTTCAGGTAAGGAGGGAAAAGAAAGAGAAAAGGAGACGTGTGCTTACGCAATGTTATCATTACGACATTAATCAGTCCCTAAACTGTAACCTGGGCATAAGTCCCCAAACTGAAACCTCAAATACGCTTAATTCCTTTTTACGGTATCCTGTGTTTTCAGCTTGTACTCTTATTAGAAAACCTGTGGACTTGAAACAGAAAGCCATCCATGACACTGATATACAAAGAAACGAATCCATTTATTGTATTCGAGGAGGCGTGCGTAGTACGCCGACGACTTCACACGCTATCTTGGTTCATTAGAAAACCTCTGAAATTGACAGTAGTGTGAAAACTGAAAAGGCAGTCCGTCTCTTCGTCGTTTAGTTCGCTTTTCACCTTCCGCCTATGGGTTCCTCTATCGTCTTTTCGTCTTTGCGAGCGCAATTCGCCGTGCCTGCTACGGCAACCCGCCTCTTGGTAGTCTCGTACTTTCGCCTTTTCATCTTGTAGACCCATGGACATCGCACAACATGAGGGTGCCAGGAAACGCTGAGCAGTGGATATCGCACAAGGAGAACACGAAAAGGCGAAAGATGACACCAGCAAGAGGCGAGTTATCAGTTGAGCCGAGAATCCGAATAGCCCAGAACCCGTTCAGCCGAGGTCACAATCGGATTCGACCCGGCTAGATGAGACTTCCGAAAATCTTTCTCTTAAATGACAATCCACATTGACAATGACGGTCTTGCAATGACTAATCGACAATCGATCAACATAGATAATATTCACACCAGCTGGAACAGGCGAAGTGCTTCTCTTGTTGAATAGTGGCCGATCTTCCCGAGCTTTCGCCACTAGTCGAAAATTAATGTCGACGATCCATACGTTTCTCATGCTTAGAGATGGCAGACTGCATGAGCTACGCGTTGTTCAGAATAGCATTGCAACAACGCGTCTCATTGTTTTTAAATGAAATCGATTCGGGAACTTGTTGAACGTTTGTGTTTGTCTGCATTAGTCTCATGTCGATTTTCCCAGCAGAATTTCATCATTCGTTTTCTATGATCAGCAAGATCCTATGTAAGAACAGATCCACACCTGCAAGGTCCTTATTGCCCTATGTTACTGGGTAAATTTGAACATGTCGAGTCAATGCACACGCGACTTAGACAAGAATTTCAATCCAACCGAACATTTCTTCACGTCCGCTCTGTCTGACAAAGGCATTCGACTGAAAATCGTCGCAATTCTCTCTTTCGTTCTCCGTACTTTTCCCATCACTCCTCCATTAGTACGTTTAGAGACGCAGCAAATTTGAACAAGAGATTTCTGTGCATCGAGGTCCAAAAAAGCACTTCGGTAACACACAGATCTATACCAGATGTTTTCCAAGCTCCTATAAGGTGCTTCAAGTTGACGAAAATCGTTCGTTACTCCTAGCTGTGTGATTCAGTCCTAAACTAGGTCGTTCCACGACCGCTCTGCATTTGTGAAGGTTCGATTGCTCGCTGACAACACCGAGGCCAAAACAAAACATGCAGAAGGTAGAGCCTAATTTTTCATTATCTCCATAGATAAACTGTCACATCTCTCGTCCAGCAAGTAGAGAAAACTGAATTTTCTCCTTGTCAAACGACCGTTTTCCTCGATTATTGTCAAAAAGAATTCATCTAGCTTCCATCACATCCTGGAAAACGAATCGTTCGCGTCACATAAAAACGACGAAAAGTATCGACAACTAATCGAATAAATTTGATTTCGAATGATCTTCACCAAGTGAAAACGATTGAAATGGAACCAAAACAACGAAATGATTCTGTTCAATCGGACGACGACAAACATTTTAATGAAATATTCGAGTTGATAATCGGAACAACTATCGATAAGACGTTATCAGTATTTTCCAAGTTGGATTTTTCTAAGTCGAACCTTAGGAAAGAATTGCGGCCGACTAGTAAGAACGAAGTTGAGCACACAGAAGGTGACCCACAAAGAAGTGACACACCTAATCGGTTCTTTTTCTTCTGCACTTTAGTGAAATGACGCGTTGCAGCTCGACTGCGATGAAATTTAGCGCATATTTCTCGAAGGTAATCACAGTTCAACATAGGATTATCATACTTTGTCGAAGTCGAGTCACTTCGGTGAAATTCGACGAAGTTCTTTCGCCGAGATCGAAATGCTGTTTCTCTGTCTTCCATTATTCGATGATCAGTTTGCCCTATTGGTCGTCGCAGTGACCGAGCTAACGGTTTTTATTCGTCCCTTTTATATGAATCGTTCGGATCCAACGAGTGGAATGGTTGTTTGTTCTAGTTTTTGGAGCATGAAGAGCGTAGGAAATTAGAAGGGGAGATTTACCATGGCCAATTCGTCATGGCCGTTGCAAAAATCGTCGATTGCGTCTCAACAATTGAAATCCGATCGGAAAAATCATAGATGGTGACAAAGTTGCTTCTCGTCTAACAATCACACGCCTCATTAATACTAATATGACAACGATCGAAGATTTACCTGACGAACTGCGCCTCGAAATTTTTGACTACGTACCTTTTCGATCGCTATCGTCTGTTTTTAGATCTCAAGTAACGTATTAAGTATATTATTCATGCAAAACCATTAAAAGTCTACTTGGAAAATAGCGTAAGGTATATTAAACATATGAAAAGTATGAACTTATGCCAGACTCAGAGATACAGACGCACATATATATATATATATATATAAAATCTTAGTAATAATTTTGTATTAACTTAGCATATAATCTGGAAAAGAGACATTCAGAAAAAAAATTTATTTTATTCCTATTTTTAGGCGCCATTATTCTGGCGCCACTTCCAAAGTGTTTTCGCGCCTAAACACGGATAGTGGAGTTGTTGCTCTGTGTTTTTTCAACTATGTTCAGGGTATTTCGCCAGTTTTCCGTCCAAAAGATGTCGAAAATTCAGAACAGAAGGTCACCTTTTATATAGTAACAGCAGCTGTGTACGCTATAATATGCAAATATATTGTTTTTGCTTCACTTGTTACCGATTAAAAGCTAGAGGTCACCTTTTGATTTTAAAAGACTTATCACTATTTAGCTAAATCGAACAGAGTGCAAAGTTCAGAGTTGTTTAGGATATATATAGTATGATATTGAAGTGCATAGTGGGTATGGATTTCCGAAATTTCTGACGCTGTCGATAGTTGACGTATATGCACTGTCTATCGCGGCATGAGGAAGGAGAAAGTTGAAGGGAAAAATTCTTTTAATTGTACAGTATGTGTGTCGTGCAGTGGAAGGAAGGATAAAAAGAAATCGTGTTCGAAGCTGTTTTTCGTGCATACCTGCCTGCCTATTCGTATAGTAGTCTGTAGGGTGAGAAAACAAAAACTGTTGTGTACGGTTTGATAATATGTTTGTACAGTCTGCATATATATGTAGTACATATATGCATATACATATACTGTAATGTGTGTAAGGGGGGGGCGGTGGTTGATGAGAGTGAGGCGCAACCCAATATTCCTTACGATAGTTACTGTAGATGTTAACTACATTTTCAGAATGTATAAGCAAGGCAGAGTATGGTGCAATATTGTCTGGTCCGTACCAGTCGGTATATTGGAAGTGCGGATGAGTATTTCGCGGATTTGTGGGACTTCAGTATCATTTGGTTACGAGAGTAGACAGCCTCCCATAATGTAACTAGGTTAAAAGCACTATTGTAAATATATATTGAGAAGAACAAATTTTGTATGCAGATCAATTTTTTGAGACATTTGCGGCGATGCTATATCTTCAGGAAAATGACGAAAATTTTGAATTACGTCTCATGTGAAGAGAACACTTTCTTTCATATTAGGCTGTGTATCAGAAAAATTTTGAATGCATTAAGGCGGAAGAAAAAATTACGAAACTAAAAGTCTGACTTTCTGTAGGTTTTTAAGCAAATACTTCAAAAGTATTTTCAAGGAAGGGCGCGGAATGCTCTGGGATGGTCTAGCAGGCCAGACTTTCCCCTACATTAGGCTCTGCTCAATTAAAAAGTTCAGAGTAAACATCAGGAACATATCGGCAATGCGTAGACTAATCAACCTCAAACTCCCGCGTATTAAATATATTCATGATAAAAATCTAAACTAGAAAAATGGGATAACTGTACGGTTGGACAATGCCAGTCGCGAATATCGACATTGAAAGAACAACCAAAATTCGAAGATATCGCGCACTATATTGGCATATTCCTTTAACAAAAGAGGGAGCGGGAGGAGGGGGCTAGGTGAGAGTACGTCACTGCCCTTAGTTGTTATCTCCGTGCATTGCACGTGCTAGATTGCAAGTTATGTTGGAACTGAACCTTTTGAGCCAAAGTCGGAAGTTGCAACTGTACAATTTCTATAATAAATATCTTTCTAACTGCAAATAGAAGTCTCATCTGTTTTCGGACTTAGAAAAGTATGATACAATTTACAGCAGCTTTAAATCTAATTTATTATTATACACAATGTGACGTTTCGAAATATATACGTTTCATGATCAGACAATGAGATACGAAGTTTATCATCCAGCAAATTTGATGTAACTGATCATATTTTTACTCAGAATTTTGCCTGCACACAAACGGCAAGATGTGGGGATTGTTTCCAGATTTAAGTTCCTAGAGTCAAGAAACTGAGCAAATACAGACGAGTGTTTCCTTGTGTTTATACTTTTGTCCACGCCCTAACTATGTTCGTCACTTACGTTTTCTTAGCGGCAACGAGAAAACGTTATTTCTGCATTCCTGCTTCTTTGACTTCTTACTTTGCTCAATTCCTGCTGTTCTAACATTGGTGAATTCCTGAATTCCTGCTTTCTTTAAATTTGTGAATTCCTGCTGTTCTAACATTTGTGAATTCCTGCTTTCTGTAAATTTGTGAATTCCTGAATTTCTGCTCTTCTAACATTTGTGAATTCCTGAATTCGTGCTCTTCTAACATTTGTAAATTCCTGAATTCCTGCTTTCCTTAAATTTGTGAATTCCTGCCTATTTAATTTCCTACTTTGTGCAATAGCTGAATTGCTTTCTTGAAGGAATTTGTGTGACGGAGAGCAAAAGTGAATTCTCTGTGTGCATTCAACAGAATTCCTGCTTTTCTGAAATCCTACGTAAAATGCAGGTCACGGTTAAAAATGACTTTCCGGGAAAGGGAAAGTTTGCATGACACCGAAGGTGATGGAACGGCAATCAAATCTTTTACCGGGATCAGAAAATTTTTTTGGTCCCGGTGCCCATCTCTAACTATACATTATATGTACATGTAATAGAAGAACATTTTCTTGTCCTTTTTCTTTCTTCTACTTTAGAAAATTTTATCCTTGCTTGCTTGCGTGCTTTTATCTTTCCTTACATTAGAGCTTCCACAAATAGCGATTTTCTTTGTTTTCGTTTCTTATGCACGTTATATGTACTGTGTACGAAAGTTATATAACGTTCGTACGCACTACATATAATGTGCATAAGAAAATAACGTAGAAAAGAAAAAAGAAAAGAAAATCGTTATTTGCAGCTCTATTGTATAACACACACATCTCCTCATTAAAAGAATTTTTCCTCTTCGCTTTTCTCTTCTTTACGTCTGCACAGACACATGATATACGTCAACTACCGATAGTGACATAAATTTCAGGAATCCCTACATTTCATGGACTTCAATATCACAATCTACACAGACTAAACAACTCTGGATTAAAACCATAAATAGCCGTCTGTGTGTGTATGTGTGTGTGTACCTGTCTGCAACACGTTTTAAAACCATTGTCTCCCTAGAGCTAAAAAATGCGTTAAAAAGTGTTTAATCATCTAGGTACTGTGTTCATGAGGGTTGAAGTCTATAGTGAGAAAAGGGAGCTCCTACCTTGCCCCACGAATCATGAACATACTCAGATTTATGAACATACTGTCTTTTGACCTTCGTCACGAAACTTGACCGAGATGTCGAGGATTCTCGTTTTTACAAGGAAAAAGGCATACTTTAGTACTTTCTAAAACTGTTTGATATTTTTTACTTCTGGACATCTGGATTCTTGGCTTATTTTTCCTAGACTGAAAGGCTAGGATCTATAATCGTAAATTAAAATCAAAATGTCTCTGTGTGTGCGTGTGTGTGTCTGCAACAAGTTTTAAAACCTACTGTCTGCCTCGTGTTTCGTTGGTTTTTTGCCATTTAAATTAGTTAAATACAGCAAGAGCAGATCTTTTCATTTGATCTTGGTTCCCTAGACTGAAAGGCTAAAATCTAGAAACTGAAATTAAAACCAAAAATGTCTGCCTGTGTGTGCGCGTGTGTGTGTGTGTGTCAAAGTTAAATTCTTATAGAGAAAAAAAAGGCAAAATATCAGACTAGAAGATTGCAACGTTCGAGAAAATAATAATAAGCAGAGTCGCCAATTGTCATGAACCGCTTGATCCGGTATCAGAAACTCTCCCTAAAATGAGGGGGTCTCCTACCTATCTTCCGAGTGATCTACACGGATGTGACAAACTATTTCAATGAATATATTTTATTAAAACTAATATGAAAAAAACGAGTATAAAAAAACACACGCACGACGCACACTGTAACGGCTAAACTTGACAATAACAAAATGAAGAAAAATAGTCACATATATACCATGACAGAACTGCCTTGAACATTATAAAAGAAAAATAGTAAAATTGAAGTAAACTAAATGATCTGCAGACGAATATAGTCAGGAATGATAATAATAGAAATAAAGAAATGGACGATGATATCAATACATATAACAAAGAAAAGAAATACATATGTGCGTAACAAAAAAGAAGTAGAAAAAGACTATGACCTGTCAAGGGACATAACATTATCTAATATTATTAACATTTATTAATCTCTTTAAGTTATTTATTTTTATCATACATCTCCAATTATTTTAACCATCTACCTATGCTGCTATGAACATTACGTATTAGCTCATCCAGTTCTATTTTTATCGATGAAGAATTAATTCTAAAGGACAAATGTCATCAATGACCTCACTCTGTTCGACTAGAAAAACACTCCGTCTTCTTCTCTGTTCACAATTTTCATTTTTCGTTTTCACTTTTTATCCTTGTTCAAAACAGACGAAGGAGAAATACCTCCTTCTCTATTCCATTTTATTTTAATTTTATTTCGCTTGCTTCTGCATATATATATATACTGTGTTTTTATTAGTATCGCTCATACTTGAAGAAGGCTACTAGCCGAAACGCGTCGTTTGTTATCTCTTTTTTATTATTTTTCGCATTTTACTTGTTCATCGTTATTTCTTACTTTTATCATTAATATACCAATATCTTTAATAAAGCTATCAATTCAGTTCAAATCAAATCAATTCAATTATATATCTGTGTCTCTCTGCAACGGGTCTTAAAAAACATTGTCTGCCTGCCTAGAGGTAAAGAATGCCTTTTTTCGATTTTAATTTTTTAAACCATTAAGGCATCTTGTTAATGAGTGTTGAAGTATATAGCGGGAAATGGAACTTCCACCCGTCTCACAGATCATGATAGATATACCGATTGTTCATGCTTTCACAAAGGAACAAGTAACGTTCATCGGATGCCGATTCACTTTACCCTAGACTGGTTTGAGAGCAACAAGCGCAGAGGCGGGAAGCAAGGTATGTGACGAAATGCTCTGGCTCTGGTGCTCGTCTCGTACAACATCTTCACGGTCCCTTGATGAAGCATCCCACTCATCTCAATATCACCAACAACAAAACAAAATGAGCGAAAGCGAAAAGAGTTAGAATGTCAAATGTAACATTGCTAACTGTGAGGTTGATCAAAGCTCACAACTGCTCATGAGACAGTTGAAATTCGAAAAAGAATAGTGACAGAGAAAGGAGTTACTGGAGAAGGAACAAATATAAACACAGTAAAAAAAAAATTACGGACACAACAAACAAGATGATTAATTGACACACGAAAAGACTTCTGATCCTGTCTGCAGAACGCGAAGATTGATAATAATACCCCACCTGAATATCGTGGTATGTCGATAACGACGCCCGTTTACGAGAATGATAAAGATCAAAATAGTGTTTTCGACTTAGGACAAAAACTAGCACGGTCAGAGAAAAAACCCAAAAAAGCTCATATTGACACACTCCGAAGAAGAGAAGGGCGTCAAAGAAATCGAGCAACTTTACTTGAACATAGTGAAGAATTAGGTCGTTTAAATGATAATCATTTTATTCTTCTATCTGAAACCGATAATGAAGAAGGAACTGATACTGCTTTTTCAGAAGCTGATGATAATAAATGCTGATGATAATAAGCCATGAAAAATGATAAATAACAACAACAAAAAGAAGAAAGCTTGTCTGAAAAAAGAAAAACAAAAGACTGTGCGCTTTGTTTTCAACAATCATCCTTGATAGTTCTAAAGAGATCAGAAAATAATTTTTCTTGGTTCATTTTCACAATCCGAGCGCAATGATATTCATTAGAATATTCTCAATGAAAAGAGAAAGAAATTTCTTTTTCTTCCTTTGTGACTCATTGGTCTCAAGGTATTTTTCGTTCCGTTTAGGTTGTGTGTCATTCATCGACGTCATTTATTTCATCTAGTGTTGCTTAACCACAGGAAATAACAGTAGACTGATTCATCAAGATACTATAAAAACCTGTGTGGTCTCTTCATTTTCTCGATTCATTTGTGTCAAAGATACAAAATATCTCATTTCTTTCTCTATTCAATTTATTCACTTTCACTGATCAATAAGCAATATGCAGATCTTTGTGAAAACACTCACTGGTAAGACTATCACTCTCGAAGTCGAAACTTCGGACAGCATCGAAAATGTAAAGGCCAAAATTCACGACAAAGAAGGTATTTCACCTGATCAACAACGTCTTATTTTTGCTGGTAAACAACTCGAAGATGGTCGTACACTCAATGACTACAATATTCAAAAGGACAGCACACTTCATTTGGTGCTTCGTCTTCGAGGTGGTATGCAAATATTCATCAAAACTCTGAGTGGCAAGCTGATCACCATCGAAGTTGAACCAGATGACACCATCGACTATCTGAAGTTGAAAATTCAAGACAAAGAAGGTATTCCACCTGATCAACAACGTCCCATTTTTGCTGGTAAACAACTCGAAGATGGTCGTAGACTTAGTGAATACAACATTCAAAAAGAATCAACAATTCATCTTGTTCTTCGTTAGTAGCAAAGTTTCTTCTTCTTTTCTAAAATATATCTCTTATTTTTGTCCTATAGGTTTACGAGGTGATTCAGGTTCAGCAGTTCGAACGTTAGGATTTGCTGTTGGCGGCGCAAAAGATGTGAATAATTTTCGAGAAAATATTCAAAATAATTATTTACCGATCATAACAGATTTATCATATGAAGGTCTATTTAATGATTATTTTTTTGATACTGACAATCAACAGCAAGATAGTAATGAAAAACAATTATTTTGTCCATCCTATTCAATGGCTATTACAAAAAATCCTTTACAGGAAACCATAGAACAGCAGTCTTATGAATATTACATGACTGTTGGATTGAATTCAAATCTGAATGAGAATACATTTAAACGAAATCCAATGAATTTGCTTATCTGTATTGATGTAAGTGGATCTATGTCATCACCATTCAATCGTTATCATTATAATCAACATCGTTCTAAAATGTATGTAGATAAAAGAAAGAGCTGTAGTGCTTTGAAATATGCATTCAAATAAATCGCATATTTTCATCTGATTAACAAATATATTCTTTCATTTTTTTAGTCCTAGGAGCGAAAATACTGAATATGATACTCGTTCAAAAATGCAAATAACAATTGAAGTTGTTTCAAAAGTACTGGATCATTTAAAGCCCAATGATCGACTAGCCATAATTACATTTGATAGTAAAACATCGGTGATTCAAACAATGAAACAATTAACCGAAGTTAATATCGAAAAATTAAAAAATGAATTATGCAAAATTCATGCTGATGGTGGGACAAATATGAGTGGTGCTATTGATTGCAGTGCATCATTATTTGATAGTAGTTTATTGATGACGGATAATGAATATAACAATCGAATTTTATTCCTGACTGATGCACAACCAAATCAAGGTGATTTGGATGAAAAACATTTTAATTCACGCATTGAACAATTGGCAAAACATCGTATTTATACAACATTTATTGGTGTTGGTATTGATCTAAACACTCAACTGATATCTTCGATAACCAAAAATCGTGGAGCCAATTATTTTTCTGTTCATGATTCGAAAAATTTTCTTGAACTGTTAGACAAAGATTTTGATCTGATTTTGACACCATTAGTATTTAATGTTAAAATGAAACTTGAATCAGATCTATTCAATGTTGAACATGTTTATGGTTCACCTGAATGGGATAGAACAAAACAAGATGAATTAATTCAAATTAATACACTATTTCCATCACGAACGAATGAAGAGAATTGCACACGTGGTGGAATTGTTTTAGTAAAATTGAACAAAAAAACTTCGTCAGCAGATACATTTACTACTGCAGAATATTTATCAGTAACATATGAAGATCGTCTTGGTAACACATATGAAGACAAACAATTGATCGATATTGATGTGACAAATGAGTTTAATTATGCGAATACTGGTATTCGAAAAGCTATTCTTCTGGTTAATTATGTTACTCTATTGAAAAAATGGATAAATGATGAACGAGAACGAAAATATAATAAAAAGAAAACATTATTTGATTTAAGTGAACAGAATGTTGAAAATTTAAGTGGTTGGGAACGACAATCGACAAAATTAAGTGTATCAGACCAATATCGAAAACAATTTCAAACATTTTTAGCCTATTTTGAATCGGAAATGGCAATGCTTCATGATAAAGGTCTGGAACAAGAAGGTAAAGTTCTGAAAAAAATAATCGATTATGAAGATTAACTGCCCCTGTCTCTTCTTAAAATATCTTTTTACAAATAAATATTTCCGAACATCTACTAATTATAGTCTTTTTATTTAAATCGATGATATCAAACGATCGAATAGTACATCATACATCAACAGAAATTATAGAGCAATTATAACAGGTCACAGAATTCAAATGATGGAATAGAGAAGTCTTAAACAGATGAAACACTTCCGTGTACGGCATATACCCTCATTATTTTTTAACAAAATAGTGCTGAACCGTATTGGAGCGTTGGTTAGCACATCGTATATCGTATTCTCTAGCTCTAGCCTAGTCGATTGAACTCGAAGTTTGGGAATTAAGGAACTGAGTCAGTGAACTCTTGCGTTCGTGGAACTTATGTAATCACTATTTACTTCAACAACAAGACACATTCACTACTTTATTAGTAAACGTTTAGTGGTGAATTCACAGCGTACATCGAAGACCAAAGAATAAATCGTTAAAACTACCTCATACTATTCCTCTTCCTCGCGTCACACAACAGTTTAATTCGGTGTATAATAACCATACATACTCCTGTAGTATGCTATAATAGATAAACAGACTGCGTTTAGGTCGTTCGAATACAGAAATAACTTCGTTGTTATCGATTGTGAGTAATAGTGACCGCGCAAGAAGCCAACACTAGCAAGACAGACCATGGGTTATAAAGCCAAGCGTTGGTGTTGTTAAAAAAATTCGGACATCTTGTGGGGAAGAGGTCATATGAGTTTATTCATTATGATTTCGTTGTAAATGCGTTAATAGAACGCCTGTCTCTATTTTTAACATATTTTGTTTAGGTTCATTTGTATATTGTAACGTTCTTAGATGATATAGAATTCCGACATCCACTTCCGCGTAGACATCAGATAAAATTATATCATATGTTTTTTTGAATAGAACTGATAAATATCCTTGCATCATTTATATAAACAGTCATTAGAAGATCGGTTTTGAAACGAAAATGTTCTTTAGCAATTGTCAAAATATTTGGATCAATTTCGACAATATCAGTGCGTATCACCGGATAATAATAACATAGAATTCTTGGTAATACAGCAGCCCCTAAACCGATAACTAAAATATCTGTTCACAGACTAACAAGCATTACATTCGGATAACCGACCGCAGAAATCAGCGGATTGTTCATATTCATTCTTGATTGAACTGTATTCGTTCCTCCAGTATTTATTTTCAAATCTCTAATCGAGCCATTTTCATAGCCTTGAATTACTGAATATGAGGATTTAAGTTCAACAATAAGATTATATGTATCTGCATAAATCAACTTAATTACAAGTAAAACTAGTTCATGCACATTCTTCCAAAACTCGAAAACAGATCGGATGTGTAGTTTCCGAAATCGCTTTTTGACAAGGGAGCCTTAAGATAAACATTTTTGAACAACATCGAGCGAGCTCTTTTTCTATACGGAAATTAGTTCTTTGCATTTTTGTGTTTCAATGATGACCGAAACCGATACCAGTCGAGATTGCTTTTGTCCGGCAGCTGCAATAGCGGATCGATTTTGGCTGACACGAAAAAATATTTTGTATGCATATGATGGACAGAAGGAAGATACTAACTGTTCATTCTTTTCAATCTGTTCACCATTTTGTTTTCGTTTTCTGCGTAGCAATGCTGCTACTTTAAAATCGTAGAAGATAAGGAACAGAAAACCAAGTACAGCACCAATAACAATCATCTAGAGATCTTCGCTTGAGACTATATCGACAACAATCAGATAGAAAGTTTCCATCTCATTTCAGTACTCATTTTTGTCACATAAAGTTCCACGGTGCAAAAATTTACAATCACATTTGATAGCAGTATTTCCAGAATGAAGTGTTTCTTCTTCGCAATAATCATATACACATGGACCATACACAGAACAGTCTTTACATAAATGCAAACTCAGTAAAAGGTCAAACTCAGCCTAGTCAAAAACCATAAGTAAGTGCTTCTGCTTCAGATCTACGACTTTTTCAGTTAAAAGAAGAGACCTAAGTTCATCAGAACAAAAACATTTTCCAAATCTTCGTCTAAACTAGGTTTTCCCTGAGATGTTTCGAAAAACAGGCTATGGGACAAAACTCTGCAAAAATAAAAAACTAGTGCTTGTTTCTCATGGCTAGTTAGTTCAGAATGTTCCCCTTCTGAGTGCTTCGGAACGGCTTTTAATGAATTCTGAATTTTCTGCTGAAGACCACAAGCAATCGATATTTTCCGTAAAATTAAGTTTTAACTAGATTTTTGAATATTTCCATCAAAACATAGTCATGCTGAATTATGCGTATGCTTCGACGTGACTTTCGAGGTTACCAATAGTCACTAGATTTGAAAGAAAATTGAAGACTTATAGTATTCGACTATGCTGAATTTAACTTTTGTGTAATGTTCCACAGGCCCAACTAAATATTTCAAAGAGAAAAACCAAATGCTTTTTCAATTGAAATGATCAAAATGTATTAAAATCGGTCGAAACAACCTCGTGGAAATCAAATGAATTATTACCATCTGATTTTCACATGCTACCCAGCTGTACTACTACCGTTCCAATTTCCTCTGGAATCTGTTCCTTCTACTCCTTATTTTCTTCAGGAACTTTCTGAAGCTCTCTGGACTATATCCAACTGCGTTTCTTCCTTCCTACTCTCCTTTCCATGGGCACAATTGCTCTAGGAATCATGATCATTGTTGTAAGTGCCTGGCAATAGACGTCTCTCCAAAATTCCAGAATCCCTTTTCTCCCTTGGGATACACTTATCCACCATGCATAATTTACCGCCCTTTATTGTTGTTGTTCTTTTTTTTTCCAAACGCTTTTTTTTTCGTCAGATCTATTTATTTACTTTTTTCTGCCTCATATACACCTTTATTCCAGGGTAAGAAGCTCAATGAACGCTTTCAACATGAAGAACAGCTTCTTTTTACTTCTTCTTGAGCTTCAGTCAAAACTACGACAAAACATTTGTCTATGTGGATCTCCTGTATCTCTGTTGTCCTCGACTTCACGAGTGATTTTCTGAAATTAGAAAGTTTTCGTAAAACTCTGTTATTCAAAATAGAAAAATCTAGTGGTATTGCTCGAATAAGAGAAAAAACAAGTTTATAGTTTTTGAATGCGTAGAAGAGGACGATGTGTGCTGTGGTGTCAAGTTGCAATGCGATTTGCAAGCTGGTAGCCGCTAAAAGGTTCTATCACTGATGGATATTGTTTAACTTGTGTCTGTATTTGTGATGGACGTAAATTGGCATTCAACGAATAAAATGAAATCGTTTGTGTTCCATTAAATAAGCTACACTTTGGGGAATCTGTAAATTGAATTTGGGATTCACGTACAGTGACAAATGTTTTACTTAATTTTGAGCCTGCTGGCAATTTCGATATCACTGGTTCATATCCGAAATAATATGTTGTAGCGGTGAGTTGTGTGGGACTGCTACACGACCAAACACCTCTAGGACCGCTATAGGGACGATCTATTGCTTTTCTTGAATTCCGAATACCATCTGCATCACTACCTTCCTCTGCGTATGTGCCATCTGGATTTATCTCCAAAATACTGTATGTTCCAGTTTCTACACCGTGGTAGGAATAGTAATACAGACCAATAACACATTTCAGGCATTTGCTATTATCAGTTGCATAAGTGACAGAACACCATAAAACCAATAACAATGAAATTATTATTTTACATGAATTAGTAACCACCATTTCCTTGAGATGATACTAACCTAAATCAGAAATTTACAGACATGAAGAATTTACAGATTAACCTCACTTTCTTACATACTTAAAAGTACACTAT